CTTCGTTTTTAATTTTCATTAATGACCTTGCTGATGACACCTACTCTCAAATTGGTATCTACGCTCATGACACAACAATTTACACCTGCCTCGATAGTAAGGTGAAAACTACAGCCGATGACCAAAATGATATTAAGCTCGTCGTTAACTGGAGCAAAAGATGGTCTGTTAATTTCAATCATTTAAGAGACATTTGGCTGATGCTAATCCCCAGTAAAGTTACTCGCTGTGCCTTCTAGGGCGTACATTCTTTGCTGATATGAAGTGGAAAGACTATATTGAATCCTTTGCTAGATCAGATGCTTAGAAATTCAATTACAGTGTTGGGTAACACAATTTTTCCCAGAATCTATCTTACATATCTTTAAGTCTACCATTCATCCATACTTAGAATATTGCTGCCACATATGGTCCGGTGGCTCTGCTATTTACGTTGAGTTCCTTATAAGATTCAAAGAAGAATCAGCAGTATTATTGGAGCTGATCTAACGGATGGACTCCAGTCACTTTCCTACCGCCGTAAGGTTGCCTTTCTATGTCTTTTCTATGAATAATTCCATGATAACTGTTCGGATGAGCTCTTAGCTAGGGTACCTTGTATTATTTTTTTTAAATTTAAGCGAAGCACTAGGCTGGCTTCGAGATTTCATCAATTTGCATTTAAGCTGGCTAGATCTGGCCGTAAAGTCACTGCTAACAATTTCTTCTCTCGCACTTCTCGCTTGTGGAACTCCCTTCCGGCTCAAGGCTTTCCAGCCAACTTTAATCTGCAAAAATTTAAATGCAATGGTTATTTACTTCTCTTTCTGCTCATCATTATCGTTTTCCTTCCTAATTCTTCCACACTTTGTAACCACTTGTGTCTTAGTGGCATTATTGCCTTGTTTGGAGTGATAGCGATTAAAAAAAATGATAGATAGATAGATAGATAGATAGATAGATAATGAAAAGAGTAGGATAGATAGATAGATAGATAGATAGATAGATAGATAGATAGATAGATATGGAAAGAGAGAAAATCATTTGAAGTATCTGACTGACTGATAGATAGATAGATAGATAGATAGATAGATATAATCAGTACTAGATAGAGTATTTACATCATTCTGACTGTTATCCTCATTATTATTGCCATATTCACGACGTTTCAGCCGTTAAACTTTCCCACCTCCATCTGGTGAAGAACGCTCCAAACGCCACCAGTATGGCAATAAATATGAGAACAACAGTCGAATAATGAAAATAGTGCAAATAGTTACAATGCACCATCTATGAAATAATAGATAGATAGATATGAATTGTCCAGGATTTCTAGATACATAGGAACAGTTTGAGATAGAGAGATGGATAAAATTAACAAATGAAAGGACTGTGCTAGATAACCGGCCACAAATTATTTTTCTTTATTATCTGTAACCACAACGTTGTCCTTCTCATAGGCTGACTGCCAGCCGAGGTCAGAAAACCTAGCCTACTCTGTTATTTAACTCAATGTGGAAAAGAGACGCTGCAAGCTACGCAAGAATTTGAATGCGGTTCACTTATCTCAATCTCTCACACTCTTCTCTACGTGTATAGATAGCTACTCGTATTTGAGAATACCTGTCAATACATCTTGTTATCTACCATGATCAACAATTTGAACAAGGCCAGCACGCTCAAGCAAGCCCTCGGCCACGATGACTTGCGACTTCACAGCTATCGACGGCACGTAAGGGTTCCGTCTACCCAATTTCACTCACAAGGCTTGTTCAACCCGCATTTTCCAAAGGTGCAGACGCTGGGATCCAGTCCAATAACATCAGGAAGTCTCTTTCCCGTCAAATCGACCATGGTGAGATTCGAACCCGGGTTTCATGAACAGAATGCAAACGTTGTAACCACTCGGCCACGTCTTCTTGACATTTTAAATAAACCTACCACCTGCAAAGAGATTACAGATGAAAATTTATTTCGAACTGCTTTAATATAAGTAGACGCTAGCTTTTTTTTCCTCACGGCTAAATTGGAATGGAATTATTTTTCATACGCAAAAACCAAATCACTTGCGTTCCCTTCGCATAAACTATGTTTGGCATTTTGAATCTGATATTAAGAATACATTTATAATACATGTTATGTAAGAACTGCGAAATTTAATTCATGTATTTATAGTCACTTTACTGTAATCTCTAAAAAAGGAATTGGATTTACGACTTTTTTTCTTCGACACGTGACTCCGTTTAACACGTGCATCAGTTGCCTTTGATCTACGCCATAATATCACAATTGGCACGAAAATGCGAATACTTTGAAATAGTTTTCTCCAGGAGGACGTGAAATGTTTACGTCTGATTATTTCCTGTCGTATAAGCGGTTACTTGAACGATGCATAGTAGCTTGAGAACAACACCACATGTGCAAATGGCAAGGTGTCTACAAATATCTGAATTTTAACAGACATCTCACTACCCGCACGCAAACACGTGAGCGAATCTCTGTCTCTCTCTCTCTCTATATATATATATATATATATATATATATATATATATATATATATATATATATGTGTATGTGTGTGTGTGTGTGTGTGTGTGTGTGTGTGTGTGAAAAATATATAGAAAATAGAAAAAGAACTCGTTAGGTAAATAATCCAAAGTTCTTTAGTATTTTTGTTATTATTTTTAAAAATAGTGCACGATACAAAAAGTAGAGCATAAATACAATTATTTATTTAAAAATATGATTCCAACACGCTACATAAGAGCTCTCTCATGTTTCAAAACAAGAGCCGAAAACTTCAATATAATTATTTGAATTAAATTGAATTAAAGTAAGCTCTGTTCCATCTTCAAGCGAAATTTTCGGCTCTTGTTTTGAAACATGGTTAAGCTCTTATGTAACGTGTTGGAATTATATTTTAAATAAATAATTATATATATATATATATATATATATATATATATATATATATATATATATATATATATTATAAACGTCAATAAAAATCAGACTATTCAGTATCATTAACAACCTATATAGTTGTTTTCACGTTTTTAATTTTACCTATTGGCCCCTTTAAGAATCTTCCTGAGTATATGAAAAACTCCTTTAAAAAATATCAATTTCTGATAAATTTATGTCTTCTTCAACAAATCGCCAAATCATACTTGGAAAAACACTGTTACACTAAAACTTCCATGTTTCACAACTAAGTAGGCACTTCTTCAGGCGATGGTAGATTAGATTAGAAACACATCTTTAACTCTTTTCGTAAGTTAAATGTGGGGAATAAGATAAGAATTAAACATATACTTACGGCTATGTCTAGATTAACCAACAAACGTCAGATCTACACTAAAATATAAAAATCAGACGGTGGAGGTGCTATTATACTGAATAGCCAGTAAAACATGGCAATATTATAGTTAAATAAGTCAAATAAATTTGGGTTGGACTAATATATACTAATATACTTCTCCCTCCAGCTATGAATAAATAGCAGGACAGACTGGGTTCTATAAACTTGAATGGCAACTGGTCTAGGATAAAGAAAAACTCTGAATTTCTGGGTCGGTTGGGGACCTTGTGGCACGTAGTGCACCAGGTCTCCGTAATCGTCCCTTCAAAAAGTGTGGATGGTCCTGCACGAAACCTTCACCAGTATAATCAAATCTCATGTGCTATACATGCGGGTTGGGGACCGCTTGTGAATTCCAAATTCCCATGAAGCTCCAATATTGGAGACGGTTCAACCCACCCCGGGTGAATGCCGTTACAAAAACAAGAGAGATTATATACTAATAAAGTAATCGCTATACAATTATAATACGTAATTATTTATGAAAACATTTCAATATATATTTAAGGTCAAAGGTAGGCAATGGCGACATAGCACCGTTAATTTATTTCTTTGATTTAACATGCATTTATCGTTAGGAAACTGTATAATATGCAATTTTTCTCATAAAAAACGGGGAACAGGGATCACGTAAGGATTTACAGGTCCTAGTTATTTTTAATATTTTCTTAACTTCTCTTAAGCGCCAAAAATATTTAGCAAGGGACATTCTGTTAAGATATGCATTGTTGTTGAAAGATGATACATGTTGATACCACGGAGTTTTAAAAGAATTTTTAGTACAACCGATATAAATTTTTTTGTCTGTTGGATTTTCTCTTGATGCAATAGTACTTAGGTAAACAATGGAATCTGTTAGACAGCTATTTTGTAATAAGCAGTCCTTATGATTTCTACAATTGCAGAAGTTGTTATCATTATTAAATGAAATCCATCAATGGGAATCTTCTGACTTAACCATTTCTTCACCATTTAACCATTTGGTTAAATGGCGGTTTACCAAATGATTATTCGCTTTCTGTTTTTTTTTCCCGACTAACAATGTTATGTTTCATATATTCAATATCAGGGCACTTATAGCCACTACTTTTAAAGCATTTTTGTAAAATTTGCTTTGTTGATAAAATAGATTTTCATTGGAAAATTTATTACTGATTCTGTATTCTTTGGAGGAGTGAGTGTGTGTGTTTAATTATGCATGGTGGGTGATTTGAATTTGGGTGGATTTGCATTAGTTTTCATGTAGGGTTGATATGCATTATTAAGTAAGTGTTAGTGCTTATTATAACTTTCAGGTTTAGACTTTTAAATTCCCTACGTATTAATTTCCTGACGTTGTCAATTTTAATTTTTGTAGGATTTTTCATCACCATAAGGCCGTCATCTCTATATACGTTTGTGACATTGTCTGAAAAATTTTGAGTCAAGTGTTATTAAGAATTTAGCGATTTTCGTTTTCGTGTTGTGTTTCATTGTGTTTTTTTGGTGATTTTAAATTCAATGAGGGCTAGTATCTTCTTGGGTGCCAGCTAAAATCCAACTTCATGCAGGTTATATATTAACCGTTAAAATATATATTATATTACTAATATATATATTAACCTTAAAATAAGGTTAATATTGTTTTACTCAAAATGTCCGTATTTTGTTGAAAATATTCTTAAGATAGATAGATAGATAGATAGATAGATAGATGTATCGTCTTTACAAATGAAACCCAAGGCTAAGAGCAGTCATCCAAAGCTTATTTATCTTTAAGCAATCAATCTAAAAGGCACCACCTGGGTAACAAGAAACATATTTAACTTACCTGTTCCCATACTTTTGATCACTTGAAAAATGAGTGGGTTCAAACAAAAGGTGTTATGCCATAAGATGTTTAACACATTTAAATGTAAATAGCAGTAAATACAATCTGAAATTATATAAAGAATGAAATTGAAAACCATTAAAAAAACAGAAGTAGAAAAATCATTTGTTATACACCACCATACAACCAAATGGTAAAAAAAAACAAATTAGGATAAAAATTGCATGCATTAATCGTTAAACATTTTCTAGAGATAGTAAACTCAGTAGAATTTTTAATAAGAATACCCTAGAATTAAGTTACAAGTGTACTGAAAACTTAGAAATGATGATTAAGAAACATAATGCTAATATCTTAAGTAAATACTTAGACCAAAATCAAAAAAAAAATTAGAGAGTAAAATAAAAACAAATAAAGATAAAGGAAAAGTATAAATAACTGCAGAAGTAAATGTAACTCCAGAAACCTTAAAAAATGTCCTCTCAATAATAAATGTCGCACTGAATCATTAGTGTATCAATGCAATATCTCATCTTTTGAGGATCCAGACAAAGTAAATGTCTACATTTGATGCATAAGTCATTAATTCAAAATACGTTGGAACCAACAATTTTCTTTTAAATTTTGTAAATACCGAAATCAAACGTCTCTATCGAAATATTTCTGGCACTTAAAGGAAACCAATAAAACACCTACTGTAAAATGAAAATCAATAAGAAAAGCTAGAGTTTGTAGGTCATTAAATGACCCGTGCCCTTTGTGCATACATGAGAAATTATACATTATGGAATTTATGAAAAATAAAAAATTACGAAATCAAAGAAATGAAATAACTATTTTTGCAGGCATTGTCAAAGATCTTCCTTAAATAATGATTAAAAAATTAAGAAGAAAGATGGAATATCAAACGTACATATTTATACTTGATCTTCTAATATATTTATTTGTTCTAAATAATATTGTGTAGAATTAGGAATAATAATTTAAAACAGTATTTTAAGACGACGTACTCATATTCAAACGACCTTTTTGAAATAAAAAATCTTAGTTTATATAATTATAAATTTTACTGCAAAATAAAAGCGCCGAAAACCTTTTTTCATTAAAAAAAAAAAAAAGACGACGTGCGATAAACACATGTCATCATTTGTTGAACAGGCACCTCATTTTTCATTTTAACTCATATTTTGATACACAGGTTGTCAGTGAAAATGAAATACCCTACCACCCCTTGCTAAAATGATTGAATTTCCCCGTAACCTTAGCAACTAATATCAAGAATGTTATTCTTATAAACTCAGTAAATTTCAAAATAAGTTATTCCAAAAATAGATTGAAAATGAAATAGTACTAAGGATTTTAATTTAATTCTATAATTTAATTTAAAGTATTTAGTTTCAGATTTTAAAACATGGTAATTCCTGTGTAGCGATAGAACTATATTTTAAAATTAGTATATATATATTGTTGAGTTGTTGAGTGTTTCCGCGTGCGTGTATTGAAATAAGGACAAACACATACGTAGGGAAAAATACTGGTATATCTGAAGAGGTACTTACAACAGAGAGATTAGTAGTCAAACGAACGCAGGTTAGTCATTAACAATCAGAAAGACTGTATCTTCCGGTAGAGAGACGGAAGTGTGATGGTCACCTGATCTCCCCAGAACTCTATAGAACTGTCCTATTAGTAGTGAAGAGATCAGTCCATTCTGTGGTGAGAAGGTTGGTGGCCCAACATATATATATATATATATATATATATATATATATATATATATATATATATACATTTAGTGAATAATTGGTTTGTTGTTTCATGCTGTACGGTTTTATGGTAGATTTTAGCACTACCTGGTTAAATCCGCCTAAAATGTCCATGATGTGAAGGTATTTAATACATGGCTGCTTCGACAAAACAGTTTTTACTGATAGTAGTTGCTATCTTTTGATGAGAAGAACCTCGAACATTTTAATGGTTTCCTTGTGTGTTTCTTTAATAAAACCCCGACACAAGCACACACTCACACGCCTCGAATTTTACATGAGCTCTTTTATAATACACCTATTAAAATAAGAAAAAACTTAATAGATGCTGCCAAAATATGTCTTACTGCAAGGTAAGACGCAAATTACTCGAAGTTACTCATTCACAAAAGAAAATAATAACTTACAATGGGCCAGAAAAGAAAAAAGAAAATCACTTGGTGCTGGTTTCCACTGCCAACCTCAGCGATTCTGAAAGTGACCCCGGTGAATATGTCTAACGACAGGCGTAAAAACGGTGCCACAAATCAATTTAATAGTCGCGTTAGTTTCGTATTACAAGAAAGAAATATTTCTTTTTTCAAACTGATAATAAAATCGAGCTTTAGATGAAAATATTAAAATAGGAAGATCAATATGACGGGATTCAGAATATAGAGAGAGTGGAATGAATCTGCGTGATATATATCAAGTTAAAGAGATGACGTGAAAGAGGAATATAAGAAAGCAACAAGAAAGAAACACTTTTCAACACTGGCATGAACAACATGAAAAAAGGTGATAGATAGATAGATAGAGAGATAGATAGATAGATTGAAATAGATAGATAAATAGACAGATAGAGAATAGACGGAGATAGATAGATAGATAGATAGATAGATAGATAGATAGATAGATAGATGCAAATAGATTGATTGATTGAAATAGATAAATAAATAGATAGATAGACAGCTAGCGAATAGTCTGTGATAGATAGATAGATTGATTGATGTAAATAGATAGATAGATAGATAGATTGATTGATGTAGATAGATAGATAGATAGATTGAAATCGATCGATAAATAGATAGATAGACAGATAGCGAATAGACTGAGATAGATAGATAGATAGATTGATTAATGTAGATAGATAGATTGATTGATGTAGATAGATAGATAGATTGATTAATGTAGATAGATAAATAAATAGATAGACAGATAGCGAATAGACTGAGATAGATAGATTGATTGATGTAAATAATAGATAGATAGATTGATTGATGTAAATAGATTGATTGATTGATTGATGTAAATAGATTGATTGATTGATTGAAATAGATAGATAAATAGATAGATAGACAGATAGCGAATAGTCTGAGATAGATAGATAGATTGATGTAAATAGATTGATTGATGTAAATAGATAGATAGATAGATAGATAGATTGATTGATGTAGATAGATAGATAGATAGATTGATTGAAATCGATCGATAAATAGATAGATAGACAGATAGCGAATAGCGACTGAGGTAGATAGATAGATTGATTGATGTAAATAGATAGATAGATAGATTGATTGATGTAGATAGATAGATAGATAGATACGAACAAAACTAGATAGATAGATAGATAGATAGATAGATAGATAGATAGATAGATAGATAGATATGAAAAGATGACACAGCCAGAACTTGAATATACACATTTTACAGTAGGGAGAGATCGATGCATAGAATAGTGTAGATACCCCAGAGTAAAAGCTCCATTTCCTTAAGCAATCATGCAAGTGATTTTTTCATAGAAGCAGTCTCATTACCGATGTTTCTTCTGCCATATATAATCCATTGACAATAGGTAATATTTATAATAAAGTTAAACTCGAGGGTGATTTGATTAATTAATAGCACCAATGTTATTAGCATTGTGTTTATTTTATTTTTCTCAATACATTCTCTCCGGTAACTTGGGAAGTTTTTTTTTCTTCTTTTTTCAAATTCATTTGTCAAATATTTTTATTTCTCTAATGTATCTTTCAATAAACACATTTCTTTGCCGCTCGCCTTGGGTGCACTTTAAATGCGTTGTTCTAATAATGTATAATATTTTAAAACTTTTCCATTAAAATAGGCGTTGTGGGAGGAAAAAAACGTATTGCAAATAAATATATGCATGAAGTGGGGGAAAGCCTTAGTACAATATGCTTTCCTCCGTCCTACGCCAGATGTTTGAAAGCTCTTATCAGACCCCGAAGCGCCAAAATCTATATAAAAAATAAAATGGTATAAAACGAAACAACTTATTAATATTTATTAAGCTGGGATTACTACGGTAAACAGCCACAAGTGCCAAGCTTCCAATGATAGAATACGCGCCAATTGTAAAAGAAGGATTATTTTCTGTTCATTGTAAGTCATTGAATTTAACATCTCAGAAATTACCAACCGTGAGATATTAAACCCTGGAGTATGTGAGACTATTAACCGAATTCGTGAGGCATTTCAAAATGCTTCTTACCAATAAATTATCAAAGATGCCATAAATTCATAGCAGGAAAGCACATGGTGAAAACTAAATTAAATAGGATAGTACTCGTCTGCGAGACATAATTGCGAAGCATTACTTCATAATAATGCTGTCATCTTAATAAAAATTGAATCACAACTCAGAACTGTGATCAAGATAGGAAAAAGCTTCCTACATTAGTATGAATTGATATTAGTCTACTACATTAGAAGATTCAACTCAGTGAATTACCTAAACTTAGTTTATAATAATAATTAAGGAAACCAAACGTACCCTACGGGGTTGTAGAAATATATTCATAACCTTCCCAAGGGCGCTTTTACGTAAGTTGGTGCAAAGATTACGGTCGCTAATTGAATTCAGCATGCTGCTCACACTAGTTCGATGTGCTCACACTGAAATCAACTCTCCAAACTTTTGTTCACCTCTGCTTCGGCCAGGGATTGAACGCACAACTCTTTGGGTCAACTCACTGGACTACTTGAACCGACGCCTTCATCAACTGGGCTATGTGTCTTGGAGGGTTTAGGCACTAAACGGAAATAAATATCCAGAAAAGGCATGTCACGTGGAACTAGAATAATCTACCTCAGTAGACGAAATATAAGGTTCGGTTCGAAATTCCAGCGTATATCACCTGAAGAAGGTCGGAGTTTGTAACAACCGTTAAGTCGCAGATATGTCAACAAAGATGACGATAACAATCCGAAGAATGTAAATAGAGCAAGTAGCTACAATACTTATGTAATGGAATAACCTGTCACCCTCATGAGTGACTACACTATAGATAGTAACTGCCTATAAGTATCTGTAAGTCAATGGACTACAGAGTTTAGCTAGGATCTGTTACTCGGATCTTAGCTGTTGTCGAACTCTCGGCCTTCGGGCAAAGAAGAACACCGGACGAGGCTATGTCGAAGGGCAGAGTCTCGTCCAGTGAGGCAGACAGACCCGAACCTGTTTATGCGGTGTTACGGGGGATTTTTGGGCGAGCCTACGGGCTCGGATTGCCTCACATTAAATTCAGCCTTGTACCACATCCCACCCCTTGGGGGGGCAGGTAAATATTGACTAGCTGGGATCTGTTGAGTACGACTCTGATTTACGCGTGAACTACTGACGTTCCAATAGTAGATTGACTTGCGACGACCTTGTGCATAACTGTTACCTTTATTCTTATTGTAATGTTTTTTTGTTTTTTTTTTACAATAAACCTTTACTTATTTTATTCACCTTGTTTTTCAAGTATATATTCCTATTAGCACGGAACATAACAAAAACTTCACCCCAGAAATATCGAAACAGTCAAGAAAGTGATGTTTCATTCTATTTCAAAGAAAAAGCTAGGAAAAACTCCGCCCCATCAGTACTAGAAAAGGCAGTTACTGTTATTGAACTTGAGAAACCTATTTTCCAGTATTTTTTAATGGAATGATTTTATAGATTTCTATCGAAAGTAGCACAGGCTGTTCAGTCAATGAATGCTAAATGTTTCCTTATAAGGAAACGGCTAATATTAGCATTAAACAATCTACACAAGCACTTTATTTTAGGAATTGTTATTTCAAATTGTCAAACTTTCCATTCCTTGAACGTCCAGATATTATTCTATTAAGAAGAAATAAAGAATCACTTATTCATCATAAAATCTAAACTTATAATTTAAGCATAATTCAAATTCTTTTAGGAAAAGCCGTAAAATCCCTACTTGTGCCATTGTAGTTTAATGTAATAACAGCAGCAAAGGTCTATATCTACCCCATTATTCTGGTGTATTCGCAGAAATCCATTCCTGTTACAATGCTGATTGTTATACGAAGAAATTGATAACTGGTGCCAACTTGCTTTTGTTAGAATCTGTTGCTTTTTGTCAGATATGAAGTAAAAAAATGATGAATGACTGTTATAGCCTCTTTATAATGTTTTCAACGAAATGTAGAATAAAAACCTCTCAAAAACTGTGAATGTATATTGCGAATTGATTCATAGTCCCTGCAGTTATGTCTACGTATAAAACGTAGGTATATCAATAATTCCCGGTGGTGTGCGTAATGTAATAGTTATCAATGTGGAAAATGGACTTCGCATGCCGAGTTCATATTTCAAAGAAATTTCGCACCAATAGGCTTCCTCCCCTCTCCAGTTAAAAGTTAATATCGGGGCAATCTTAACTCTCTAGATTTGCTTAACAACCATTTCAGCACAAAGACAAGTTTGTATTCAATGCCGGTTGGATGTGGTCCGGCAAATTTACATCTTAAAAACAGCTACTTGCTACAGAAACCAGGGCAGCAATCCTGTGGGTGAAGAGGTTGGGGCCTTATTTTCTCCAGTGAAGATTTAAAGATCTTACGGCCACATCACCTTGAAACATTGTTACCCGTACAATCACGGAAGTTAAGCTACATCGAGCCTGGCCACTACCTAGATAGGTGACCGCTTGGGAATGCCAGGTTCTGTAAACTTGTATGTGAGGTGTGGGTGGTGTAATGGATAATGTCTCGGAATTGTTAATCAGAGAACCGAATTCCAGTTCCAGTAGGATTTGTTATAATCATTTACGCTCAAGTATCCTTGGGAAAGGTATGATTCTGCCTCTTCTCCCCCAGCTATGGGTAAATTAATAAAAAAATCACTTTTATCTAAAATTTCGTGCAAAATATTTAAATTTTCGGCATTAAATAATTCATAGACATTGATATATCGCTAAAAACTTCCAACAAACAATACATACATATTGTTGTAACCTAGGGAAAGTTACTGTATAGGATAATCAAACGAAAGTTGGTAATGGACGGTAATACTTAGGACAAGAACAGCACATATAAGATTCGCCAGCGCCGGCTTGAAGTAATTAACTGCTACGAGTGAGCAAAGTTAATTCCTACAATAAATCTCCAACTGCAGAAAATCTACCAAGCGCCCCACGCGGTCAGATGTAGCATAAGTCATGATTTAATGTCAGGTATCTGAACCCCTAGCCTCGTATACCCCGTATAAAATGCGACTCTACCCTTCGACATAGCCTCGTCTGGGGATCCTCTCTGCTCGGAGGTTGAGAGTTTGACCAGCACAGCCGGAAACGAATCTCCAACTGCAGGATATCTAACAACCGCCCCACAGGCTGAATTTAATGTGGGGTATCCGAGCCCGTAGGCTCGGCCAAAAATTCCCCGTAGACCCCGTATAAAACGGTGTCGGGTAATGGTTTCTCAAGACGAGACTCTGCCCTTCGACAGAGCCTTGTCTAGGGATCCTCTCTGCCTGAAGGTTGAGAGTTTGACCAGCACAGCTGGAAACGAATCTGCAACTGCAGGATATCTTCGAACCGCCCCACGCGGTCAAATGCGGCACAAGGCCGAATTTAATGTGGGGTATCCGAGCCCGTATGCTGGACCAAAAATTATCGGTAGACCCCAGTGTTGGGTAACGATTTCCCCAAGATGAGACTCTGCCCTTCGGCATAGCCTTGTCTGGGGATCCTCTCTGCCCGGAGGAAAATAGATTGACCAGCACAGGTGGTGACGGATCTCCGACTACAGACCAACATACAGTATTTACAACTGAATTTATCTGAATAGGGACATACCTATTATTGTCCGTAGTTATGCTACAACACATATATACATCAATAATTCAGTAGCTTTATGACCGCAAAAGCATTCATTTTACATAGAAAATATTTTCCTTTCAGAAAAGTCCCTTTCGTTTTCTTCATGCAAAGATTCTTCAGAAATTATAGCGCGAAACACTTTTAACTGAAACGTTCATATGAAGATTCTGATAAGCGCTCCAGACCGTGTTATTTTTAAAACTTCATTAGATATAGCCTGTAGATTCATATATCAAATCGTATAGCATTGTCCTTTGTTTCAACTTGGAAATTCTTCTCTGCAGGTTACGATGGATAAATTGTCATCTTAATTCTGCAAAAATTCAAATAGCACTATCTTATTTTCACAGATATATTTACCAAAATTACACAAAAGATCTCTTGAAATACGAAAAAGTAAATATATTCAATAAAATATCCATTGACTTCAACCCCGGCCTCCAGACGACTTCTGGATCTCCTGCATCTCGTCTGGACGGTCTCCTTCTTTAAGTTGGTGAACTCTGTCATAATCCTTACTTTCAGTTCATCTTTGGTGTTACAAGAAGTTTTATTGGTCTCTACCTAAACTGTGCCCCACACATAATAATCAAGAGGGTTGCAGTCTGGGGAATTAGGTGGTCAGATATAAGGAGTGATGCGGTCGCAGAAATTGTCTGACAGCCATGACTGGGTTCGCCTATTTGTATGGCAGAGTCATGTTGCCAGACATTGGGTCTTCCAGCAGCCACCATATTGTCCCAGGTCAGGACTACCTCATCAAGGCACTTGATGTAGGCCTCCGTGCTGAATCTGAGGCCCGGTGGGAAGATGTATGGAGGCATAACATCGCCATTTCTAGTGATCACTCCAAAAACTTTAGTGATCACCATTATCCTCATCCAACTCTTTCCAAATCTTCTACACTGTTGTTAGATTGGCACCTAAACACTGAAATATCAGAATCGGAGTTTCCGGTTCGAATGCCAAGCAGTACAGCATGTCTTTTCCCAAATTCTGATGAAGATAATTGCGCCATGGTGTTCTTTTTCTCACAGACCGCGCCAATCTGACCCTACTATACTATGCAGTCGACAAAATCAAAAACAACGCGTATGCAAGAAATGAAAAATGTAGAATGACGGCAATTTACTCATCGCACCTTGTATTTATAGCGCATCTATGAAAATAAATATGAATTATTAATATAGCTATCTTATTCAATTTTGAAAATTAATCTAATGGATCAGACGAACATTTGTTCCAAATAGATATCTACATATCATTAAATATTACAAACATATATTTTTTATAATAATGTCCACGCTATACAATACGCAAGAGCCACTCAATGTAGAGGGTTAGGGTTACAGAGTAAGCACCATTTGTTTATGAGGATATGTAGCGAAGATAGCAGTTAACACTGGACTTGAACATATTAAGATTATAGTGAACAAGGAAGTATCCTATTGGGAGTCGGTTCCACAGAGTAGTGGTTCATGGGAAGAATTTCTTCGAGAGGCACAAACATCTCACTAATTTGATAGGAAAGGTATGAGGATAGTTCGCTTAAATGCTCTTGACATGGCGAGTCTTAGACGTGAAGGTCAGAACTGGTGAAGTTAAGGAACTTCATTGAATTAGTGACAGATTAACGAAAGCCTTTCGTCTTTGAGAACGGAGTTGTTCATGCAACCTGTGATATCACGATATTTCTTCATTATAAAGCATATGCAGATAGTGTAGTGGAGAGATATTTGTGCGATCCGAGTTCAAATTCTGGTCTCGTCTTTTGAGTTCATTCATGTACAAATGCCTCTTGAAGTTCGTTACATTCACTTACACACAAATTCCAGTAAGAATGGTATGAATTTATTTCGTCTCTCACCAGCTATGATGAGAGATGAAATGGCAGGACAATCACACCCGTCTCTACCAAGACGCAATGGGCAAGAACGGTAAGGTAATGGCTCATTCTTCCCCAGAGTACGACACCTCAGCCTTACACCCGCCATTCCGGTTGGGTTAGTGGTTTTAAACCAAGGCTGAATTTAATTGCCTACATCGATATTTCAGACTAGTATATGAACGAAAAGATAGCGAGATCTGATAACGCCTACGTCCAACCAAACATAGTCATAGTTTGAAAATGCATGAATGAACGAGTGTTCCAAGTGTGTTTTTCATTGAAAATCAAATATATTGGTTATTGAAAGAACAGGGATGATACTTATGTAATATTTAATATATAACGATTGTATACACTTTGAAAGTGCATTTAATCTATAGGGTTTTCGTGGCTTCATTCTGTGCTGATATATATTTTTGTCACCTGCTGCTATGTTTTACTTTTACTATGATTACTGCAAAACGACTTCCAAAATACGCATGGTGAGTCAAATGTAGGCTTACACTTAGTTGGTATGCATTTAATTTTTTTTTTTTCATTTACATTTATTTGTTACAATCATATTTGTTCAAATCTGTTTATCTACATGTCTTTAATACTTTACTTACAGTTTTTCAGCACAGTTTAATCTCTTAAGTGCTAAAAATGTCCTCCTTGAACATTACAACATTCCTGGATCCGCCCCAGAACATTATGACACATAGCACGACACAAATCAATTTCAATAAACACTTCTGAGATGTACTCTTTCTGGGAATTTTTCTCATAAACCTTGTTCTTTACCTAAACCCACTCCAAATGTATCCATTGGTGTTAGATCAGGTAAAAGCGGGGGGTCATTGGATGCTGCCTCTTCTTTCGAAACAGTGCTGTGGAAAGATCTGATTAAGGTAGGCCCTTACTGTCAAAGCATAATGGGTATGTGCTCCATGTTGCTGAAAGAACAGTTCGGCGAAGTTAGCTGTGGTTTTGAGCTGTGACACTACCACGTCAAATAGTGAAACAAATCTAAGCCTATTTTTGACCCATGTATATTTGCTCCTAACAAAATATCCTGAAGGTAGTGATAAGCGTTTTCGTAAGACTAAATCACACATTCCAATGAGAGAATATATCACATCTCAAGTCTTTTCACACATTCTACATAACTGGATATTGCAAACGCATAATATTATCTAAACCAACATATTTATCGTTTATAGCACGTAATTAAAAAAAATATTAATATCAATATATATATATATATATATATATATATATATATATATATATATATATATATATAAAATTGAATAGAGGATTCATTTCGAAATTCTCTGAATGTTACCCTAATCAATAATGGATTCCGGAGGGTACTACAACCGAAAGATAGTGATTACAACACTAAAGATGGCGATAATAATTCGCATGTAAATTATTATAACAGGCGTTTGGTTGCGATGGAAAGGTATAACAAGGATTCAATTTTCAACAGTGTATTCGTGAAATATGCACGATATATTTATAGTTGTGAGAATTTTTTAAAATTGTTAATTTGTCGTTTTCGGTTCTGTTTGTCAGGTAAGCGATTAGCTGTAAGAATGTTGACGGTAATGCCGGGAGTTGACCGATCACTTGGGTCTGTTTGGCCGAGTTCACAATTGGGCTCAGTGGATATGTCCGGAGTGGATAAAAGCAGTTGGTAGCGTTTCACGCACGCCTTGCTTCAATACTGAAACTGACATCTGTGATGATGTTGATCAGCTAATACGGAGATATTGAGGACAAACTGCCTTGTAAGGTGGGTCGGCGTGTCGATCGATTGCGGTGGTGGTGGGTTGATTCGTGGTACGGCGCGTTGGTTGCCGATGTTACGGTGGTGGCGACGTGAGATATGGTGTAGCTGGTGAACAATCGAACGGAAGGTCTCTGCTGGATTCTGATCGAATGTGGTATCAACGTGACGTGGTTACGATAGTGA